AATTTAGTAATAAATGCGATCTATTTTAAGAAATAGATAACCAAACAGTTAAAAGTCAACATAAATGCTTCAAATTAATATCCACTCCCAACAATAAACCAACTAACTCCATCATAATTGCATACTCATTCACAAATAACTTGCTCCTATTAAATATATAAAGTTGGTTTATTAATAAATTAATCCAACTTAAATTAAGAGTTAAATTTGATTCGGAAATAAATTTAATTTAAATTATGTATGATTCGTTTTAATTATTTATAAACATATTTTACACACACATATAATATATATTAAATAATAGATTTTATAATATTAAATTTGCATATCATTTTCTATGAAATAAATAAACATATTTACATTATATGTTTAAACATTTTTTAGTATTTACAAAATTAATGAATTTTAATTTTGATTTAAATATATTGGTTTTCAAAGTAGTTGATGTACAGAAATGAGAGAAGTTATAATCATACAATTATTTGCTTTTAATTCTTTTATTAAAAAAACCATTTTTTTTACTTTTTTTCTTCCATTATCCGAATAACATATTTTCTATTTCATTCTTTTTTTCTTTTTCTTATCATTGAACATATGCCAAAAGACGAAAATGATCAATTTAAGTGGGTTGAAATATATAATACATAATATCATCTCTTTCTTTTTTTCAAAATCCCTAAACAAAATGTTATTTGTATATTTTAATCCACTTTTAAGCATATAAATCGTAATTTAAAAATTTTATAAAATGGTAAAAAATTATTTTACATATACCAAGAATAAAATTACTCATTTTGTAATAATAATGATTTAAAATTTTGGATAAATAAATAAAGAATATTTTATACAGACCAAAATTTATATATATGAACTAAAAACATATTTAAATTCATATTAAATAAGAAAATTAGTCAAAATACTCTGAAAATCACTTAAAATATTATTTTTCTTTCTCATACTTTTTCTTCTTCTAAATTTAACTAACTATAATGACTTACTTATTTTGTTATTAAACAAAAAGTAAATGAAATATGATGTTATATAGTCTTAGAATAATTTCATAGCATGTGTATTATGTGTTTGAATAGTGTTATGAAATGATTATTTTGAGTAACAGGAGTGGTTAAGTTAGTGGACAAATTGTTTAATCGTATTGAAATAAGACAGTTGGTAGTTGGGAAGATGTAGTTATAATTCATGCATAATATCGAACTCTTCTGGTTCAGGATCATTTCTGGTCACTGTAACTACCCTTTGCCCACTGTCATAAAACAATTTTCTGAACACATCAACTTGTTTCCCAGAAAACTCATTTAGGTGGTCACCGGTCATTTTGGCCTTTAATTGTGGAAATCAATGTGATCAGCAAGACAAGACAAAGCCATGTTTTTTTGTTTATCACGAGAAGAAGAATGATGAAGGTTGTATCAAAGGTCTTGAAATACACACGATTCTGCATAAAATGAATGAATAGATGGATAAGAAAGCTGTATCCATGTGGCCTTAATAGGGCAAAGTGATGGAAAGGACCTGAGCAAGCTGTATTTGGACAGTGATGGATGTTTACTGTAGACTTGTACCCGACACCTATTAATGTTTAAAAAACTACCCTAATTAACTCTCCTTCCTCTCAGCAAGGACAAAACCTCTCTTAATTAGTTATTCAATTATTAAAACCGTTAGTTAAATTAATCATTATATCTTATATTTCAATATTTATGAGTCTCAATTTAGTAATCAAAATTAAAAATAATTTATATTTGGTGATCATCAAGATCATCTAACCAACTAGAGTCTTAAAAAAAATAAAAATTATTAATTTAATCTATTCAATGTTTTAAAATGGATCATGGTTTTTTAATTTAATATATGTTAGATTAAGGATTAACAGATTAATTCTTGTTTGACTTAAAAATATATCCTTAAAATTAAAATTATATTAATCAAATTATTTTTTATTTAATGATTTAATATATAAATTATAAGACTCATTATTATCATAATTTAATTTTTAATAATTTTTTATTTAAAATAATAATTAATCTTAATTATTAAATATAAAAAATAAGTAATTATTAGATATTTATTTTAATATTTATTTTTAAAATAAATAAATTTTTTATCAAATTAATTTATAATATATATATATATATCAATAAAATAATATCACTTTTATTTTTATTTTAAAAATAATTATTATTTTATAAAACGGATTAACTCATAAATTTATTTATTAATTTAATCTAAATTTATATAAATCTTAACCTAGTTGAGACTCAAATAATTTTAATTTAATTTATAATAGAAATTTTTTATCTAATCTATCTTATTTATTAACTTTTGAATGGACGATATAAAATTAAATAAACATATTCTTTAATACATAGAATTTTCTCAAAATGTTATTTAAAAATAAAAGTGACAAAATTAAATTTAAACTTCAGACAATATTTTTAATTATGACCTAACGAAGTGTACAAATAAATTTATGTTCCACTTCATTTAATTTTCACATGTTTTCTATAATAAAAAACAAAACATAATGCAAGATGCAAAGTTCAATATCTATTTGGTCCAACTTTTTCAAAAGTCTACCGTGACCAATTTCATAGTAAAACTTTGGCTTGTTGACTTTTCGTTAACTATGTGAACGTACGAAAAATAAGAAAAAATGTTGTAAATATTAAAATATATATAACTTAAATATACATTCTTAGCTTTAGAATCATTTAATACATTCTGAAACTAACATAAAAAACTATTAACGAATCATGATCATTTATTTATTTTTTCCATTTTCTGTTTTAACTTCAAGTTTATAATAAAACTGTTACCTTCCATCAAAGTTGTTTCTTGTTTTCAAAGATTTTATGCTGAGAGAAAAAAGAATGCTAAAGTTATAAAGAAAATATAGAAAACAAAAACAAAAGTAAACGAAGCTTAGTTTGGGAAATGCAGTGGTTTGTTTCTTCTGCCAAATTCAGAGGTTTGAATATGCATTGCATAAGGCATTATGGGGAATTAAAAGGATTGTTTTAAAGCCACATCCCTCTTCATTGTATCATACAACTCAACTTACATATCTTCATCATCTTGTGGACCACAAACACCCATAAAGAATTCATTTCCAGAATTAATTCTTTCTCCATTATCTTCTTCACTTCTGTCATTACAAGCTTGCTAGCCGACTCTGATATGCATATGGATGGATAATGCCTTGCAATATGGTCAAATGTGAGAGAGAGAAATTCAGAACTTCGTTTTTGATTGGTGAGTAGAAATTAGTTGAGAATATTTAACAAAATTCCACCTAAAGAAAATTTATAAATAAAAGGCTTAACTATGTGATTGTGATTTGTCAGAATTTTTTAATATCACAAGTATATTAATGTGGTTTGGCCCTGCATGTGAACGTAAGATTTTGTGCAGATAAGAAATAATTGAAAGTTTTGAAGTTAAATGTATAAAGTATTTGGGAAGAAATAAATGCATGGAGAAGTAGCTATAGCTATCCATCCATGAGGAAGCATGGTTGATTGGTGTTATTCCTGGAAGATGAGAGTGTCTCTGGGATGTGGGAAGCATGTGGTGTGCCCTTAAAGGAAGAACATGCATGCCCTATTGCCCTTCAGAGAGCTGGATTTGGACAATGATCTCACTGGGGATGGAGCCAGCACATACATGTTAAATGCCTTCCATCTTTCTTGTCAAATTGATGCAGCCTTTGATCAATAATATCTCACTGGGAAAACAAAGTGTAAATGATGGTCAAAAAAAGGTGTATAAGATGATTTATCAGAACAATGAGGAAAAAGACAAATAAAAAATTAAAAAAGCTGGACCACAACTACTAGCTAGAGCCTGGACAGAAATTAATTTCTTTCTCTTTGAGATTTGAGCAATGATAACTATACATGCTTTTGAGAATATATATTCTTAAGTTTATATATGTAGAAGTTAACTTCTTCTTTTTTCTTTTGAAAATTCTTATGGATAAGTTCATCCAAACATATCTTGATATTCAACATATTTTAACATAATTTTGGATTACTATGTACAACCAAAGAAGCACTAACTTGCTTATCAAAACAAGAACCATTCATTATCATTAAATGAGATTTTGAGTTTAAAATTAAAACTGAAGTCAAATCAAGGAAAAAAAATAGAACAAGTTCTTTGTATCATTATCATTAAATTATTAAATCAAACAATAACACAATTATTTTATAATTCAAAAACATGTTAATAACAGCATTTCAATGTTTGAAAACAACTACGTATCATAATTTAAGAAGTCAGCAACATTAATAAAAAGAATGAACATAAACAAGCGTTGTCTGAAAAAATACCCTTAAGTCATGTGCAGACAAAATCCGAAACGTGAATGAAACACTCATGAGGGATGAGGAAAGGTGGGTTTGTAACATAATTTCTTCTTCCACCTCACCAATCACAACATACTTCTCTTTCAAATTTCGGAGTAGGTAATCCGACAAGAAAAACCTTCGTTCTGAATTAAACTTTTCATAATAATAATACTAAAAATCATTCCTTTTATACATCTCAGATTAAGTCATCAAAATGAAGATTTTTCATCTGGGTTTAATCTTTCAGTAACGAAAGAATATGTAAAGTAATATTGTTGGAATTCAATAAAGAAAAGACCCTTGTTTCGTTAGTTCAAAAGAATCTAAACTCACAAACCAAAAAAGAAAGAACCTCTAATTTCCTTTAATTGAGACATTATACAAAGAAGTAAGCTCCAAGTTGATGGGAGAAGCTACATATGTAACATACAACTCGTGATACCTTTGAAGTGTGTGTTAGTGATATCAACTTTAAAGGAGAGCTACCCGCAATGTTTCCTATGGAGGGTACACGCATCATAAAAGTAAAACGTGAAATTCGCTTCATTCATGCCACTAAAAACATCATTTGTTGAAACATTTCTACCCTTAGAAGTGCCTCCTATAATAAGATGCACAGGTTGAGCACTTCGCTTATGCATCCTGGTTAGCTTGATCTGTCATAGGGGTATCTGCACTAGCTTCATTTGTAAGTGCTGGAGGAATATCTGTTTGTTCCTTTTCCAGTTGGGTATTGTGATCCAATTTTGGTGGAGCAGTGTGCTGCTGAAGTGTTGCTAGTGAACCACCCTCTACTGGATTGGTTGCTGCTGGTGAAGATGAATTCGGCACTGTACGGTTTGTTTCATCTTGATTAGCATCAATGGTTTCGTATTCGGATAAAAGATCCATGAATTCATTCAGCAATCTTTGGACTTTTCTGTTTGATGCCATGGATGGAAGAATGTCTTCCCTAAGGAGCTTGTGTTTCCTCATTCCCTGCGAGGATTCAGTTGATACATTTGAGAAACTGAGAAGATAAAGTGATCATTTGATTTGACAATCATATAAGCCGTGTTCCAGCATTTCTTGTTAGGGTTTGACATTTTTCAGATAAATAAATCATTGAGATCAGCCAATAAATCTATTTCATGCACTATTACTCAGATTAGCTCTCCAATCAATACCTCTTCTTTCCAGCTTTTTCATTAAAAATCACTTTTATTTTGAAACGACTCATAATCTAAAAGAAATCAAACTTCTGATTATTTTGTGAAGCTGCCTTGAGTAGTTTCTTTCTCAAAAAATAAAGCTGAAATTGAAACTTCTTTATAAAATTAAAACAAAAAAAGTGGCTTTTATAATTGTAACCTCTTAACATCAAAATCTACAAAAAAAATAATTCGTTTCTTCCAGTCTTAAAACCATTTTGTTTTTCAAAAGCTTAGAAAAACAGGCCCTTACTTTCAGTAATCTCTACAATAAACTTTTCATGTTAACTTCAGTACTGTTTTAAGCATTTCGTACTTGACTCAAGCAAAACACAGACATATGTAGATAGAGAAGCTTACAAGCACAAAAGGATCCCATGCTAAGTTCTTTGAATCTGAAGATTTGTCCTCAAACATCCCTGTTGGAGGTCCGAGGAAACTCTCGCAGACTTCTCGTAAACGAGATTCATCTGCTTCTCTGCAATAATTTCATAATTTAGTATGAATTTGTCCAAAATTATAAAGAAAAAAAAATGCATATATAATCACAAGTATTAAAATTAAGACTACGTTTTTTGCATAAATAATATATATGGCATTCTCTGCTTAAATATGGCAAATTCCTAAAAAAAAATCTTGAAGACAGTTAAAGGAGTTGCATTCCGTTAATCTTAAGAATAGTATCATACAAATTAAAAAATTCAGCAAGAGCACCATCAAAAGATTTTAAGTAGAAGAATATGTACCACTCTTACATCAAAAATAAAAAACTAAATGTTCATACAACAAGCATTACATATTTTATGTAAGGTCAATGAAGTGCTAAACGTGAATTTGAAGGATATCTCAAAGAGAAAGAGAAAAAAATAGCACCTTGCAAGAAAGCGTACGTATGCCAAGAGGCATTGGCGATATTCATTGGGGGACCCCAAAGCCAAGGAAGAAGCCAATTGAGTTTCCAAATGAGCACGTGTCTGTACTCCATCATCAGTAATTCTGAATCAAGGTAGTCATGATCAGAAAGTGCTCTTTTAGAACATCAGGATTCTAACAAAAAGGGAGAGGGGTAAAATTACAAAACATGAGAACAGAAGCCTACATAACATGGAAGTCAAATCTTCTAAAAAAGATAATAAATATATAGAAATAATTGAGGGTTTTTCAATTTTATTTATGAATTGAAATCCTTTGTTGTTATGATATGTTAGACCCCTACACATCAGAATAGTTAATGAAAAACACTCGGTAGTACACAGAGTAGAATATGACAGATAGGATTCTGTAATGAAGGTGTTGCCACCGTATTCCTCACTGGTATTTTTCATGATCATGCATATTATATAAGATGATGTGGAACAAATGTATCCAAGATAAAGTTTAAGTCACACCTAATAAAGAGAATATCACAAAGATTTGTCTAAGATGGTTAGGCCCTGTGAGGAAAAGAACAAAGAAGCTCACCGAAAAAAATGAACGTTGTCTGATTATGGGGTAAATGAAATTCTAATATCAGTAGAAATAATTAAGAAATGTTATAAATGGTTTCACAAGAAATTTGGTTTTTCGCAGAGCACAAGCATATTGATTGATCCATGGATCAATCAATAAGCGAGATGAGCTTGGTTGTTGTATATATGCTTATATAAATAACTCTTTCTTCAGATACATTGATAAACTGCATCAGTGACGCTAAGAAAATTAAAGTCTTTAAAAATACTGATATCTATCCTAGCTTCTGTACCCCCTTAATTCATTTGGTATCCAACAGCATTTATTTCAAATTGAGTACCGAGACCAACTACATTAAAACCAGATGCTGATGACTACACACCTGGTCCAACCTGGCTTCCGGGCCAAATATTTTCTAAGATCAACCTGCAATGCTGCCAGCTCACCACTTTGAATTGAACCCAAACTCCAAGAGCTGGAAAAATTTGATGCAGGAAAGCAATCATCTGCAACCCTCAGCCAACATTTGATATTCATGTCAAATAAGAAAGCATGGCGAGTCGCCAACACAACAAGAGGGGAACCCGATTTTGATAGTTTCACAGATATAACTTTAATGGTTCCTGAAAAGAAAGGGTAAATTTTAAGACAACATAGAGCCACTGAAAAAGTACACAAATTATTGGAAAACCAGGTCAAGTTGTCCTCGTACAAGGAAAAAAAAATAATGACCTGTGAAACAGAGGTCATAGTTAAATACCAAGCATCTCCAATATCAAGCAAATGGTGATAACATACGGTACCTGCATCTTTAGCAGATGAGTTACGACTTGAAGAAACTAGAGAAGTCAGTGAATGTTGAAGAAGACAGGTTTGGTTGAATAAATCCCACAAGTACAAGGAACCATCCCTTGTCACCACCAGTAATGTCCAGCATTCATCACAGTCTATAAATGTTGCAGCAGAACCCATCATCATGGTAGGCATTGCTCGTCTCCCACCCTTTGTGTAAATCTTCTTGGAATCAAGCAAAAGAAAAAAAAAATCAGAGATTTCCACAGCAGAAGATTTACAGCTTGCCCAAGCGCTAAAATAACACACTATGCCCGTATACAAGCTTAAAAAAATTTGAACCATTTATCTCACTATATACAAATCAGTACTTAAGCACTTATCAGAATGCAAACTTATCAATAGTTATTCTGAAAACTGAACACCAAAAGATAATGGGAGTAAAGGGACAGAACACAACTTGAGATATAAATAGTACAGTGTGACATACATATCTTTCTTCACTCAAATGGTTTACGGCTTCAACCTCAATGTCTTGTATTATGGGATATTGCAAGTGTAAGCAGCTTTTCTAATCAATTATAAATCATACAACTAAAATATTTAATCTTATGTCAGTGATATATGTATGCAAGGAACACGTATTAACAACTTGAATGGACTTGATTGATGCATAACAGCATACCAAAAGGTATAAAACTGGCGATGAAACTCATGCAAAGAGACATTTAATCATATTAAGATAAGAGGGTATTATAAAGAAAACACAACGAACCTCAATGATCAAGACAAATCATTACAAAGGATCTTGGGTAAAACTAATAGAGCTCGTCATACAGTCATAGCTCACATCAAATGTTAACAAAAAATTGGTAGTGAAAGAAAACCATGCATATACAAGCAAAAGAGATATTTACCAGCAAACATCCATCTTCACACCCAACTGCCCAAAAATTTCCATTGCCAGCTAAAACAGTGACTTTTTCTGATATCCAATCAGACCAAAGTATTTGAGACCCCTTCGAGCACACAATTTCTGTTTCTTTCATCATAGATGTATTTCCCAGCCATACAATGTCGTTTACAGCATGTTCCCTTGAACGTGCTTCCAAAAGAATAGGTGAGGAATCTTCTCCACTTTTCTTGTCAAATACTCTAATCGATAGTGTACCACTACAACCAGCTGAAGAACTGGAAGACATCAAATTGCCCAACTGGTCGACATTGACACTTCCATCACCAGCAGAGGCTGGAACCTTCTCAATCACAAGGCTCTCAGAAATTGTGGTCTTAGATGTAACCCCTGATCGCTCTTTTATATCAGTATTTCTGCCATGTGCTCCTCCTAATGTACTCACTCTTATACCATCATCATTGGAAACTGTTCTGTCAGTATCCTTTCTGTGATCAGAAGACATCATAGGAAAATCATGTGATTGCTGAACTGCACCTGAAATGTTTTCCTGCTGAACAGGTACTCCAACTGCTTCTGGAATAATTCTTTTACGGCCATCAGGTCGTCTGTATTCTCTTTGCTTAACAGGACTAGAAATCCGGCCAGAGGTTGTAACTTTGTTTGATGCATCACCAACTGGAACTGCACTCTTCTTACCATCATCATTTTGAGGCTCAGCATTCTTTGTAGTAGCCCCTAGATCAACATAAGCCTTTGCCTTAGTTTGGTTTTGGGGAACATCAGAAACCAATTTTTTGCTAGTTGTTTGCTTGGCAGAAGCAGCTTCTAACAGTAACTGTGCTGGACTTTCAGCTAAGTTTGCTTTCCGACCCTTCACATCGCCATATCGACTTCTCTTCAACTCGTCTAGCTCAGCATCAACTAATCTCTGACCAAGTTCTTTTACCTCAAAATGAAATGTAGCAACAGATCCATCCAAGGAACATGCAAAAAGTGAATATCCGTCAGGGCTCCTGTTTGAAAAGGGAAAAGAAAGAAAAATACAGAGGAGAGTCACACAAATAATAAAGTCAAAATAAATATTAATTAAAAAGGCAACATTCACATGACATGTCAACCACAACTAGAACTGAAGAGAAATACCAGGACAAATCCACAACACTTTGAGTAAAAAAATGCTTCGCCACAAAGAGAGGACGAGGGCTTGCAGTAGTCCAAACTGTTATAGTTCGATCCTGACTTCCAATGGCAATAACATTGTAAGGTTGGGGTTCTTTGCTTCCGGTCTTGGAAGTGCCATTGGTCCACCCAACAGGGACAGATTTCATTTCCTGAGCATTAGTCAAATTTCTTCTGAACATAGAATGGTTGAACTTCACCACAATAATTGGAGCATTGTGTCCTAGAAAATCAAATGTTGCAGACCATTCCCCTCTCTCTAGCACTGGGGCAGAATGCCTTGGCTTCTGGAAACCATGAGTAGTGGTGATAAAATGACCACAAGGTGACCATCCAAGCCGCCTGAAAAAGGTTGACCCAAGCTGAAAGGAAGACCTGTTAATAAGGAAATAGAGCTTCTTATTCCATCAGAAAAAGTTTTAAAAATAAGAAACTTACAGATTTTGCCCAGTGACCATCTGTCCTATGAGCAAGACTCCAATCACTAGTTCGCCAAATAATTACAGTTTTGTCATCAGATTGACTTGCTATAAAAGAGCCAATAGGATCCCAAGCAACTCCCTTAACCAGGCTAGAGTGGCCCCTTAGAACCGCAGTGCAAATGCCATTGCTCATATTCCATACATGAATAGTGTTGTCCAAACTCCCACTGGCCAATGCAGAATCATCAGGAGACCAATTAAGATCCACCTACTTTAAGCACGGAGATATAGATCCCAAGTTAATGATGATCATTAAAAATATAAAAGCATTTTAACAAGCAGCTAGAAATCCATTTAGATGATAAATTGGTTCATTCAATTAAGAGAGCAAATGTCAGCAAGGAATTAAATGGTTGCAACAAGAAATTATTTTTGAAAAGGATGAGATTGAAAAATAAAAGCAATAGCATTACCACATCTGCAGTGTGCCCTCTCAAAGTCATCGCAACTTTCCAGTTTTCAATATCTGGGGGCTCTCCACTGCCAAATTCAGTGGTTCCTGAACCAGGCTTTCTCTCATGAATTAATATCACCTGATCATCAGACCCTGATGCAACAAACCTTCCATGTTTTGCCCACCTGACACAATTGACAGATCCAAAGTGATCCCGCAGGGTTGCAAGAAGCCTTTGAGAAGAGGCATCATTTTCTATGTCAGTACTAACAGACTTCATATTCCATATTCGAACCTGCATAACATATAGTTGAGAATGTGATTGTATGAAAAAACTAACTCGGGTGCTTAAAACATTCCTGCCCTGAGGCCAGAAGGGGTATAAAGCTGGTTTTCTCCGAGATAAAGGGAAATCATGACTAAGGTATATAGGAAAGTTATGGAAACAAAATATTCCTTAAATATATACCCGAACCTGACACTAGGCACCCAATTATGTTTAACTTGTAATTCAGCAGAAAGCACAAAGGCAACTAGTTTTCCAGAGCACAGTTATGTGTCTAAAGAAACAACTGACAAACTCACTCGGAAACTATTCTTATATATATGTGAGACAAAAGATACTCTCTTCCCCAAAAACCAATGTTTAACTAGAAAGTAAGCATGAAGTGCAGTCTACCTTTGATGAAGAAAAATATTTAACAATCCTATGCTTTATTAGAAATTTTGATCAATCATTTCGATTAATTGAAAATATAAAGAAAGGAATATTCCTCTGATATCCACTGGAAAGAAAGCACACAAAAAACGGGGGGAGGTGGGAACAATCAAATCCCATATTCAATAATTACAGTATTGCTAAGTTTAAAATCTTAAAATCAAAGTGGTGTGTCATTTCCTAGAATACCATATAACTGAACATCCAAAATTCAAAATTATCCACAAATTTGAGCCTCAAAGACAGAAAAATTCCTTACCTTGTGGTCACCACCCCCAGTAGCGAATCTGAGACCTCCTGGTTGAACATCAATGGAGAAAATTTGCATACCTTCATGCCTAACCCAACTAGGTTTTTCGGCTATCATCTTCCTAAAAAAATAAAATTTCTTCTTTCACAACAAAGAACCGATTCTTCTTCCACTCCGCTTGCTGCTAATTCAAAAGATAAAAGAAGTTTGAATTTGACGACAGTGGAAGGAGGTAAGAACTTCACTCACTGCGCTCAAACCCCGCAAATTTCTGGTTCAGAATTCCCCAAAACACAGTGAAACCGAGACAGTAAAAAAAAAAAACAGAAATTTGACATGGACCCAACTTAAGGGTTTTGCCATTTCTTCAAAGGGCTAAAAAATAAAATTGATGATAAACCACGAAAAAACAAAAAGAATCTTCTTTTGTATTTTAAAATAAATAAAAAGCTAAAAGGGCAACAAGGGCCTAAGCTTGGGGGTAAATGAGCAAAAACCCTAAAAGTGAAGATGTTGGTGGTGGAGAAGATCGAGGGTTAACTTCCTCTTTAACGGTCAAATCTAGCTAAAATACCAATGACTAGAAAATAAACAATTTTTTAGGGTTAATAATAATAAAAAAGAAGATGCAATAGCACAACAGAGATTGAAAAAAAGAAGGGTATAGCGGTGGAATTAAATGAGAACTTACTTTATGAGTGTGCCTTTCAAATTGTCTAACCTTCTCAATGTGCAGATTCTAACTGGTTAGTGGCAGTAAGAAGCAAGAAGGTAAACTAGAATTATTGCGGAAACAAATACACAGAAATTGCGTGAAACATTGTTTTTTCAAAATATATATGTCTCTGTGATGTGATGCTCTTTGCAGTGTCAGGGCTTTAGTTTAATCCTTACTTGTTGTATAAGAATTTAACCTAATTAAAATTAGATAATACACTGGATAAGGTCATAATAAGGTTAAAATAATCTGATTTGTGAATGTAATATAAAAATTTAACAATATATATAATTAAAACAGTATTAGATTAAACTGATATTACTACAGGATATATTAGTATATAATGTAAAATATCATTGGTTAAAATTCAAAAATTATTATTAATTTTTACTTGCTAAAAATTATTATAAATAAAATATTAAGTGAAGTTTGAATTAATAATATAATTATAATTTCTTCAAATAAGTTTTGCTGTTAGAACATAAAAAATTTAAAATTTATTTATTTAGGTTTAAAAAATATAAAAAACTAATATAAAATTAAAATTAGTTTCAAATCACTTTAAACTAATTTATACATAAATTAACCAAAATCTACTAGGAAGGCCCCTCACCTGACCTATCTTAGCATATAGCATTTTTTTAAAGGAGGTTTCTTTTTTAGAATTAGCAAGTTGAGAATAAAAAAAAGAACCACTTAGGTTTGGAATAAGGTTTCATTTTAGAAGAAAAAAAATGTATGCAAATTTTGTTGTAGAATTATAATATATTTAATTGGAAAAACAAAATTAAAGTTGAGATGGTTCCAGAAAGAAGAGGAAAGAAAAATAATATAAAGACTATATATTTTTTGGATTATTTAATTTTAAAAGTCATATTATTATTTATTATTAATATTGAACATTATTATTTAAAATATTTTTATTTAATTTATCGTTAATATATTGTTATTTATTATTATTAATATTGATTTTTATTGATATAATTATTTTTTATGTTAGTTATTTTTTTTATAACTATTTTTTTTATCAATATCATCATTATATAAAGATAATTTTTTGTATTTTTTTATTATTTTTATCAAATAAAATAATTATTTCTATCAAAGTCATTTATTATTACATTTTAGTATTTATATCAATTTTTAAAATTTTGTTAAACTTGTTAAATTATATTAAACATATAATATATTTTATTTATTTATTTATTTGTAGATTGAATTAATAATATCAACAAGTAATCTAATGGTTAGACATTGATATGATTAATGACTTACCTCACACAATTTATTTTTACCCTAAGAAAATATCTACATTGTGTGTTCAATATTTTTTAGTTTTTGTTTTATCTAAATCAATACCAATGACTATTTAAAAGAAAATGTATCTCCTACAAAAATATTCAAATACATATTATAAAAAAAAACAATAATAATAATAATAAACAAGACAAGTCACACGTGTGGTACATCTTAGTAGAGTTCACATGCGACTGTCACTTTCCCTACACCAGAGCCCAACAAAAGAAACCATGGCCATTATCGTGTACAGGAGCTTTCATTGAACCTTGCAGTGCTTAAAAAGATGAAACAAACAACACCCTTTTAAAAAGTCACTCTCTTTGCAGCAAATTTCCAACAGATCATGACTCTGAGTGCGTCTTTAAGGGCACTCTCCAACACTTCAACCAACCTAATTCTCAGACTTGGACGCTACCAGATTCACTGCCACGCTAACCCTCTGCTGCAATTTCATGCTGTTGCCCTAAATTCAGAGACCCTTTTACGGGACACTGACCCTCGCATTGCACAACAACTGTTCGATCAAACTCCCCTTAGATACCTCAAACAACATAACCGGTTGCTGCTCAGTTCCTTTCGCAATGAACAATCCCAAGAAGTCCTTCACCTCTTTGTTTCCCTTTGCCGTTCGGGTTTATCCCCTGATGGGTTAACCATGTGCTATGTTTTGGATTATTGTGCCGGTTCCTCTGATGGAACGGTGGGTGAACAATTGCATTGTCTGTGTGTCAAGTGTGGATTTGTACAGCATGTTAACGTAGGAAACTCTATTGTTGAGATGTACATGAAAACTGGGAATGTTAGAGATGGGAGGAGAGTTTTTAATGAGATGGGTGACAGAAATGTGGTGTCTTGGAATTCCTTGCTCGCAGGTTATTCATTGAATGGGTTTAATGATCAGGTGTGGGAATTTTTTTGTCAGATGCAAGTTGAGGGATACAGGCCTAACTACTATACTGTTTCTACTGTAATTCCAGCTTTGGCCAATCTGAGCGTGGTTGCTATAGGAATGCAGATTCATGCCTTGGTTGTAAAGCTCGGTTTAGAGGCAGAAAGACTTGTGTGCAACTCTCTAATTAGTATGCTTTCAAAGTCAGGAATGTTAAGAGATGCTAGAGCTGTTTTTTATAACATGGAGAACAAGGATTCGGTTTCTTGGAATAGTATGATTGCTGGACATGTGATAAATGGACAAGATTTGGAAGCTTTTGAAACGTTTAACAACATGCAACTTGCAGGTGCTAAGCCCACGAGTGCGACATTTGCGTCTGTGATCAAGTCATGTGCCAGCCTTAAAGAGTTGGGGTTGGTAAGAGTGTTGCACTGTAAGACTCTGAAGAGTGGGTTTTCCACTCACCAAAACGTCCTAACAACACTAATGGTAGCATTGACTAAGTGCAATGAAATGGATGATGCCTTCAGTTTATTCTCCTTGATGCACGGGGTTCAAACTGTGGTTTCATGGACTGCTATGATCAGTGGTTACCTGCAGAATGGTGGCACTGATCAGGCTGTGAATTTGTTTTTGCAAATGAGGAGAGAAGGTGTCAAACCAAATCATTTCACTTATTCTGCCATCCTTGCTGTGCAACATGTTGCTTTCATTTCTGAAATACATGCCGAAGTTATCAAAACTAACTATGAGAAGTCATCTTCGGTTGGAACTGCAATTTTAGATGCTTATGTTAAGATAGGAAATATTAGTGATGCTGTTAAAGTTTTTGAGCTAATTGAAGCCAAGGACGTAATAGCTTGGTCTGCAATGCTAGCGGGATATGCCCAAGCAGGAGAAACTGAAGAAGCTGCTAAAATCTTCCACCAATTAACAAAGGAGGGGATTAAACCAAATGAGTTTACCTTTAGCAGCATCATTAATGCCTGTACAGCTCCTACAGCATCAGTAGAGCAAGGAAAACAATTCCATGCATATGCAATTAAACTGAGATTAAATAATGCTCTGTGTGTAAGTAGTTCTCTTGTTACCATGTATGCAAAGAGAGGCAATATTGATAGTGCACATGAAGTTTTCAAAAGGCAGAAGGAGAGGGACTTGGTTTCTTGGAATTCAATGATCTCTGGATATGCGCAGCATGGCCAGGCGAAGAAAGCATTGGAGGTATTTGAGGAGATGCAAAAACAAAAATTGGAAGTGGATGCTATTACATTCATTGGTGTCATTTCTGCCTGCACTCATTCTGGCTTAGTGGAAAAAGGTCAAAACTACTTCAATGTAATGACCAACGATCATCACATTAATCCAACAATGGAGCACTACTCCTGCATGATTGACCTATATAGCCGTTCAGGGATGATGGAAAAAGCCATGGATATCATAAATGGGATGCCATTTCCACCAGCTGCAACTGTGTGGCGCATTGTTTTGGCAGCTTCTCGAGTACACCACAATATAGAGCTTGGGAAACTTGCAGCTGAAAAAATAATTTCACTCGAGCCACAAGACTCAGCTGCGTATGTCCTATTATCCAACATGTATGCTGCGGCAGGAAATTGGCAAGAGAAAGTCAATGTGAGAAAACTAATGGATAAGAGAAAAGTGAAAAAAGAACCTGGGTACAGTTGGATTGAGGTGAAAAACAAGACTTACTCATTCTTGGCCGGGGATTTGTCGCATCCTTTGTCAGACCATATTTACTCAAAACTTTCAGAGTTGAATAACCGGTTGAGGGATGCTGGTTATCAGCCTGATACAAATTATGTGTTTCATGATATTGAGGATGAACAAAAAGAAACGATTCTTTCTCATCATAGTGAAAGGCTTGCCATTGCCTTTGGTTTAATAGCTACACTACCTGAAATTCCCATCCAGATTGTGAAGAATCTTAGAGTTTGTGGAGATTGCCACAACTTTATTAAGTTAGTATCACTCATTGAACAGAGATATATAGTTGTTAGAGATTCAAACCGATTTCACCACTTTAAAGGTGGTTTGTGCTCATGTGGGGACTACTGGTGATGTTTGGGCTAATGTGCTTTATTAGTTTCGAAGATTACATAGTGGATGAGGCCTTTAGTTTTCCAAAGAATCCATGAAGCCTTCCGAGGCATAAATTGTCATGGGAGCTTTAAGGAAAGAGTAGTTGAGATCCATCCATACGTCGCTGTTTGTGGATACTTTTATGGTAAATTATGGCAATGAGTATGACGATATGGGTTCTCCACTCTTGGATCGACCATTATAAATATCGTTTCAGAAAAGAGGATCGATCGACAGAAAGTTTCACAAAATACCGTTTAACGTTGCAGTGCCAAATTTGATAGCATTGCTAAAATTTGCTGGCTGATTCCAGGAATCTTGAATTTTCTACAAGATTTGCTGCTGGATTGGATCCGGGCTACGATTAGTTTAGTTATTTGCTAAACTGGCTCAGAGAAAAGCCTGAAAAAGTTTCTAGCCAATAATTCCATTTCCCCTTAATGGGCACTTGTTAACCTTTTTGAATTCTAACATTGTTATTGGAAATTTGAAACAATTTTCGATTTAATTGTTATTTTTAAAATTTAAGATAATGCTAATTATTTTTATTTATTGTATATTTATTAATAATTTAATTTGATTAATTTAAAGGTGCATTTGTTCTGAAATAGAAATGAAAAGAGTAATTAAATTTTTTATAAATATTTTACTTAGATGGAACAAAATTATCTTAATTTTATAAAAGAATATGAAAAGACAAATAAATGGAGAAAATCTTTATTCCATGACTAAGTAATTGAAGGAGTATAATAGATATACAATATCTGTATTTCCGATTTTGTTTGGAAAAAAAAAAGACTGAAAAAACTATTCCTGATTATCACTTTCTAAAAAATACAGAAATCAACATTTAAAATGCTATTGCTTTGGTATCCTAAATTAAGAGGGTATGCGTACCCTTCCTTCCTGAACCAATAAAAGACAATACCATGCATGTACTTATAACTTGTATGCATGTCTTTATAACCTATCAATCTGATCCTAATAGACTTTAAGTTGTCTTGTTTAACCTCTATCAGCAACATAATATAACCCAAAAGGCCAAAATTTGCATAAACGTCCATCAGGGAGTCGGGGACACTAAGCTTTGAACAACAAAATCCAGGCATAACTCGTCTTAAACAATTACAATCTCGAATATATTTACTTGATTAAATCAATTTGAAGAACATTTAATGAGTGGAACTCAATTAATGTATCAGATCCATCTCGAAACTAAAAAGCACTAAAGTCTATGGCTACCTAAATCCAAAGCAGACAAGTATAAGAACCCAGAATCACACAAGTTATTTTTTCAAATCATTTCAGATTCTGTTATACACAATTCAGAAGTAAAATGAGTATCGACCTTTATAAATCCACCTCGGTACAAAATACAAAAGGGGCATTTACATCCCCCAAAACAAAATGAAAAAGATGTATTCATTTGATCCAACAGCTAAATAAATTACAGATTATGACAATATATTTGAAACCAGTGTGGGCCCTTCGGAGTGAAATTCCATAAGTATTAACCTTCCTCTCCAAACTCCTTTGTGAATCTCTCGTGAACATCAAGGTCGGCTTTGCTTACTGTAGGCCTTTGTCTGGCGAGAACCTTCTCAAAATCTGTCCGCGTAATAGGGGGTGGAAGGATCTGCAATAAGTTTCAAAGTAGTAAGCATTTTCCCGCAGCTCCAATTAGAGATATAACAACCTCGTCCAAAGACAACTCTACTTCTCCAATTATCCATAAAAAAATGAAGACACTAGGAATAGTCCTATTACCATACAAAACTACTAACACGTTAAATACCTTAGAAGCAAGTCCTTTTGCAGCAAGATCCTGCATTGTGGTTTGTACAGCACCCTGTTGTTTTGGTCCACACGGGATCCACATACCCTCAGGATTTTTAAAGAAGAACATCGCATCTTGGGTTTTGCGAACAGGTTCAAATAACACATCCTTTACCTGAAGAAGAGGTCCAAAAACTTCTTACTTGCGATTTCATCAAGTATAAGATCAATAAAACCATCCATTTCACATAGAAGCCAAACTTACACAGACAGAGATATCTGAACCCGAAAACCCCTCTGTCCTGCTCGCCAAGTACTCAAAATCACTTTCAGTCAAGTTATGAGGAGTATCTCCTAGATGCACCTGCTCATTTTATTAAGCCAGAAAAATGGCATGTTAAACCCATTTGCTAGGTTTATATAGCACAACAAAATCCATCATTCAACAAGTATATTTTCCTTGCCTTGAACATGTGTTGTCGAGCCTTCAAATCTGGTAGTGGAATATATATGCGCTTATCAAAACGACGCCTTATTGCCTGTAATTAGAAGTTAATTAGTGAAAACATCATAGTATTAATTCTATAGGGATCTCACAAACAAATATCGTTTCTGTGTGACCTGGTCTAACGCATAGGGTGTATTTGTTGCTGCAAGAACAAGAACTTTCTGATCATTGTGTCCTACACCCTACAAAGTAAGTGGATAAACTATATTAAATAACATGAACTATAAAAGGGAGAACATATACCAAGAATGTTGGAACCTTAATAGCAAAAAAGCGAATTAAAAAGAGAGAATAAAATATAGATAACCAAGCCATATTCTGACAACATTATTATACAAATTAATAACTGCAGGGTTCAGCATAAAATGAAGCAGTGTAAAACAGAATAGATCCTAGCATATCTTTTCTGAGACATAGATAGAAGATAGAACAATTAAAAATATGCAACTTTGTTTGTGAGGCGCAAACATCTCATCAAACAAGAACAGGACAGAACAGAACATGATGAATACACTGCAAGGAGAACTTTAAATCTAAGGTGAATGCAATTATTAACAATAGTGAAAATTGTTTTGAAGAAAAAAAACAGAGAAAACTACATGCTGATTATAGGTTTAAGGAAAGCATAGAAATAAACCTAGTTCCAAGTGTTGCAGTTATATACTCAAACATGATTTAAGACCCAAAAAACAGTTAGTGGCAAGATCCAATATGAACGAGCTCGATCATTTTATTCAACTATCATAGACTCCTCACATGTTGAAACAAGAAAATTTTAGCTGAATTGTTTTAAGATTGAAGCATGTAAGATGTGCATAAGCACCCATCAATTGAGCACATAGCCCAAGGAGGAAACTACTATTCAAAATTAATCATACATGTTTGGGCCTAAAAGGATTTATCAAAGAATTAAAGAAATCAGTTAGGTTTTTTCATCATGATATGAAACTAAATAAATAACAGTCCCCGTATATGGCTATATAACTGGGATTGAAGCAACTTGGCCGCTTGTTGACTAACAAAACTACTAAAACTAATACCTGCATCTGAACCAGAAGCTCTGTTTTAATTCGTCTTGAAGCTTCACTCTCATTGCCTTCCCCACGCTGACCACATAGGGAATCTATTTCATCAATAAATATGATAGAAGGGGCACTTTCTCGAGCCATTTGGAAAAGATTTGAAACCAACTTTTCACTTTCACCCATCCACTTTGAAACAAGGTCTGATGAAGAAACACTGATGAAGAATTCAAAAGTTAAAAAAGCTTGCAAGAAGAACATGTCCACTTATGGACCTACATTCATAATTCAAAAGGCCATTTTTCAATAGATATCATATCAAACATCTCAAATAATGAATAGAACTATTGTCAAGAAAAGGTATAGAGAAAATGGGAAGATGAATTAGAAAAAAATTAAAATCATGCGTGTATCATATTCTAAAGACTACAACATTAGGAAAAAGTATTGCACCATTTACCATAATTCTATAAATTTAAGTGTTAAGTGTCAAACCAAGTGGTAAATTATTTTCATTTTACTTCGTTTAATCATCTTATGCAAACATAAGATTAAAAAATGAAAGAGGACAAGAAGCAAAACTAAAGAATATTGCAGTTTTTATGATTTTGCGGTTATTTTTCATTTGAATTATTATAACCATTGTGGTAGAAGTAGAATCCTGCTGAGATACTAAACTTATAAAGCCCTAAAAGATTGCTTACCAAGAATTCAAGCGTGGTAATTAAAATCAAATTATTTAATCCCTTTGTTCGAATTGAATCACACATGAAATTGTAAGGGAGGTCAAATTGTGATTTAAATCTCAAAAATTGGAGAATTTTACCCAGTTTATAATGCTGCTGAGATACTAAACTTATAAAGCCCTAAAAGATTGCTTACCCAGAATTCAAGCGTGGTAATTAAAATCAGATTATTTTAATCCCTTTGTTCGAATTGAATCACACATGAAATTGTAAGGGAGGTCAAATTGTGATTTAAATCTCAAAAATTGGAGAATTTTACCCAGTTTATAATGCTGCAGGACTGACCTGTTAAGAAATTTTGACCTGGTTCATTTCTGCTGACCTACTTTTAAATTTTGACTACCATGACTGTTTTTTAAGTGTTTTCTTCTTCGCATGTGTGCGAACACTAGGAAACTAATTGCTGTTCTTCCTCACAGTTCTGCTTCATCTGGGCCAGCCATTCTTTCTCCTCCATCTAAACCATTTCTGTTCTTCCTCGCCTTGCTGTTCTTCCTTTAATTGCTGTACTGGTTTGGGTTTTTTTCACTGTATGGCTTTTTCTTTTTGTGCCTATCTAAAACCCACCCTCTCTTTTTACATTCTTATTGTTTAAACCTGCACACCCACCTTTGCTATACAACTCAATCACCTTGTTCACAGTTCTGAACTAAAGTGAAGACTGCTTCACAAAGCGGCTAATCACAGACAGCACTAGTGAGGCTGGTAAAAGTTAAAGTTCTTGTGGTAATACTGGTGCAGGATGCTCCAGTGCTGGCTCAAGTCTTATAAATTTGTGCACTGGAATGCTCGTGAAAGCAGGTGTGATTTGGGATGGAACTACAAAGCTTCAATATATATTATGTCAACATGTATATACTGAAATAATTTATAGGATAAAGTATCACTTTTCTCATACAAGTCAGAATGCTGAACCTTGCAAAGCTGCCCTAAAATATGTGAAAATGGACTCATAGGGGGTTGTGGCTGGTTTGCGAAAATCATTGAGGGTGATAAAGGAGACTGTTGGAGCTGAAAAAAGAGGGAAAAAACCAATGAAGTGGATGGTCTTGAGCATGTTGGAATCACTAACATTTCCAAGAGAAAAGGCATTTAGCTCTGAAGACACAATGAACACCAATTAAGAAGGGTACAGAAGAGAATGTGTGACAAGCTATTGCCCGGCTTTTATAGAAAAAAACCACATAGATCAATGAGGCTAGAAGCGAAGAACTTTCTATTATGTTACTTAATTGTGGAACATAGCAAAGGATTTAAACCACTCTCCTATCATGACATTAGAGTAGAGTATTCGAAACAAAATCTGTCATGGCAGAGCTTCTGCGTGAGGTGTTGCAGATCTATGTATGGTGCGCCAACCTATTTCTATATTGTTTTCAAGGGTCACGTTTGGGACCCAGTGTTGTAGCTCCTAGGTTAAGTCCAAGTTTTTATCCTTCAAGGCCCAATAAAGTCACTCTTCAAAGTCCAAATTTGGCTAAAATGGAGTGACTTCCACAATATTGGTTGAGCCCAGATAAAGTGACTTATGTCATTTTCTTCTGTAACTAAAAAACAAAAGACTGTGCTCACTCTCCAAAGAAATAAGAGACTGCAGCTCTTCCAATGCATCATAATGAATCTATTGACTTACTTTTTTTTCTTATTATATTTTCTCTGCTCATGTTGAATTGATTGTTTAAATATTTGACCTACATATCAATTTTATAAATTTAATAGGATCTTACGATCCGCAATACAATTTTCTGATTTAGGTTCTATACTTTCCTTTCCAATCTTCAGTAAGATCTCAATTTTGGCTACCTTGACATAGAAGACAAAATCACATATTAAGCATAACATGAAGCTGCTCGGGGAAAGATCTAAAATACAAGATTGTAATGTGGAATACAAAATCACATATTTTAAAAATGTGGAATACGAATTGTAATGTACATTTAGACTTACCTACCGGTCTATGTCAATTTTATTTGTATTTGTTCAGGTTCATAAGAGAAGAAATAAAGCAAAAGACAATGACTGATGTGTTTATCATGGCTAATTTAAAATTGAGTAAAAATAAGTAAGCTAGAAGAACTCCTGAGTTAGATCTTCCTGATGTTTGGTCTAATGATGAGCGGAAAACGATGATGAAATTGAAGGTTTAAACCAGGGAACCTGGGATTTGGATGCTTAAAATCAAGATAAGAACTGGGTTCGAGAGCAAGAGATAGAGACTGGGGATGACAACTTGGCTCAAGACCAAGTTGGAGCGGGTTGGTGATCATGATATGGAGAATTTGGTTGGCAAAGTAGATGGAATTGAAGATGAGGATCAAACAGTAGATCCTTATGATTATAATGCAAGCACATTTGTTAGATTAGACTGTCTTGGATAAGAATATTACTATTAGCTTTTGGTGTTTAAGTGCTTTATGCCTTATAATGTGGATTATGAATTTTGTAAAATCTTTATTTTAAGAGCCCCACTACGCCGGATTAAGCCTTGTATTCAAGTTTTAATGCCTATAAAAGGGAATGCAATGCGGAAATTGAGACACATACATATTTTAACTTGCCAACTAGAATTCATTCGAATGATTTTCCCAGGAATCTGGTAAACACCAGAACTAAAGGTTACTCAGTTCTATAAACATCATTCTTCTCTTAAACCGTAGAATCAACGAGTTTACCTGAAAAATGTGGACTCGGCTTCTGTTGCAACAGCCTTGGCTAAATAAGATTTTCCCGTTCCTGGAGGTCCATACAACAAAAAAGCTCTCCAGGGTCGTCTTTTCCCTGAAAAAGAAACCACAACGAAACACATAAAAGATTCAACCAAAATTCACATAAAAAAGGTCTCTTCACACTTCTCAGACAAAATGCAACTCATTCTAACTCAGGATTGTAAAACCGAGTGAACCCACCAGTAAAGAACTGAGGGAACTTCACAGGCAAAATCACAGCCTCCTGCAAGGCCTGCTTGGCGCTCTCCAACCCTGCGACGTCGTTCCACTTCACGTTGGGCTTCTCCCTCACGATGGCCGAGTTGAGCCCAGCCCGGAGCTTAGCCTGCTCTGGGTCCTCACCGTCACCGCCTCCTTCGCCGTCCTTGGGCTTAGTCTTGGGTCTGGCGGCGACGGCAGCGTCCCCGTTGGAGGCCGGGCCGGGGCCCCCGTCGTCGAGGACGGCCCGAATCTCCTCGGCCCGACGCAGGTACTCGGTGAATTTCTGCGTTATAGCTTCCTTGATCTTAGGGTTCTTCTCGTACTTGAGATGCGTCTTGAAGTACTCCAAGGCGTTCATGTAGAGAGGGAACGCTTTCGCGTAGTTTCCGGCATTGTCTTCCTGCACGGCCTGCTTCACGTACTCTATCGCCTGCTCCTTGAAATTGCTATACATCTTCTTCCGGTCACCGCCGATGGCATGTACGATAATCAAGATTTCAGATTCGCAAGTGGAGAGAGAGAAGAAGAACAACCCTAGAGCTGCATCGCGATCATGCGTTGAGCGAATATGGAGAAAGTGTGGTGGTGGATTTCGAAACCCTAGCTGTAAGTATCGGAAATGATCGGAAATTCAAGGACAGTAGAGGGAAAGAGGAAAAGGAAAAACTAATTTTTGGTTTTGTAATTTTTTTGACCCAAAAATACGCGTTTCTTATTTTGTGTGAATTTTCAATCCATAGGGGTGGCTAAGGCTATCACCTAATGCGTTGCGTTTTGATATCATAGGAGCAGTTGATTTTAGTAAACAATTTGAATATATTATAGGGTAAATTTATAAAAAATTATGAAAAAAATTGATTATTTAAAATTAGATAATTTTAAAATTTATATAAGAAGTACAAATTTAAAATTCTTAATAAATATTTTTTTATTTCATTTAAAATGAATTAAATTTAAAATTTAATATATATTTTCCTTTTAAATCACAAAATACTTTATTTATAAACTATCTAATTATCAAAAAAATAAAGAGAACAATAAAAGATGAATAAGTCAAACATCATCCCAGACAATTAAAAATAAGTGGTATAAATAAGTGACTAAAAATAAGTGATATAATGAATCTTTCTAAGAAAAAACCATGTCAAATTTTCGAAATAAAACTTCAACAACACAAGGAGTTAAAGTTTGACATGAAAATATAATTATCTACAAATTGGTCACTTTGTCAAGAAATGTGGCAAGGAAAAGGTGTTAAAGAACAAACTCAACTATCATGCAAATGCAAGAAAAGATTCAAATTTGTAGTTTGTATTGTTTATGGTACTTAGTGTTAATAGTGTGACAAATATAGCAAATTATGTAAGTAATGAAATAAAGAGTCAAAGTACCAATTTTAAAATATTTGTACTTGTTTAAGCAATTTGTGTGTAAATGAGTTAAGACTAACTAATTAGAAATGTTGTATATTTCAAATTTAATTTAAACATCAAATTAAGAGGTGAATAAACTATTTAGAACTTGTAATAGATAAATCAAAGTATCAATATTAGGGTTGAATTTTGTGAACTAATTGAAATATAGATTTTATTTTAATAGACCTTTTATATTCTTTTAGCGTTCATAATGTGAATTTATCTTAATTCTATTTTTTTTAAAGATAGAGTTTTAAATCATAGCGTAAAAATATCAATTTCTTAATTCTTTTTACGTTTGATTTAAGAAGATGTGGTATAAAATGTCCAAAAGATAATATATTATATTTAATATGAAACTTCTAAGTTATTCATTCAATCTTATCTTACGATTAAAGTTCTGAAATTATTTTTCAATTAAAAGATGTAATCAGAAGCAAAGATAATCAAAACATGCAACATTAAACATTAAGATAGAGCATAAAAAATCATGTACAAATACATATATTGAAATGGACAAATTATAAATAATTGAAATTCATTATTTCTGTCTCAGATGAAATAGAAGATTAGTTATTCCAAATATTAGAACATTGAAACCGAAGATAAAATTAGAAGTCTAAAGTTTAAGATGCTTCAGAATGCATTCATGTCATGCATATTGGACTATTCTCCCACTTTTAGTTAAAAAAAAAAACAAAATCTCATATTTTTGTTTAATTTTCTTTAATTGAACATTGGCTATAAGGTGTACTTCACTAAACAAAAGTGAGTGTTGTAATTATTACAAAAATTGTAATTATTTTTAGCAAAAATATTTGTTTATTGAGTGAAATATCTCAGGATAGGACTTATAGAACTTTTAGAATTTGAATAAGTACCATTTTTTTTCTATATCATAAAACATTATAAGTGGTTATGGTATCATAATTTTGGTCATATTAACTTCAAGGACTTGCACCTTTTTATTAGAGACAAAATAATTGAAGGATTACCTATATTTTAGGTCCTAGTGTGCAAGAAATACTTTAAATGCAAACAAATAATAAGAAATAGTTTCAATAAATATTTTACCATCAAAAGCAACTAAAAAACTTTGTATCATATACCTTAATGTTTGTGGGTCTATGCAAGTGAAACTTTGGAGGCAATAAGTACTTTACTTGTTTCATTAATTATTTAATTAAAAAAGTTTGGATTTACCAAATACAGAAGCAAACTAAGAATGAATTCAAGATCATGAGACCAAGGTGAGAGTGAATGATTGATGCATATAGTGACACTATCTTACACACTCCAGCACAATTTTATAGTTAAGAAAAAAAATAAAACAATAACAAACATGGTGAGGTGCATTATGAAAAAGTAAAAATCTACCAATATAGAAAAGTTGTGTGACTTGTAAGTTATAGTTTAAATCAACCGCTTACTAAAAATCTAGACTTGTTTTTAATATAGTCAATCTAAATATATAAAAGATATATCAAAGAGGTTTAATATGTAAAAAAAAAAAAATCCAACAAGAACACCAACTAAAAATTAGACTTGTTTTTAAAGAAAAAAATAAATAAATGAAGAGTTGGTCAATTGTGCTCAATTAAAAAAGATAATTGAATGCTTGAAATACGTGAGACCTGATTTATGCTTCAAAGTTGGACTAATATTAAAACAATCTTAAATATTAGGTGTGAAAAAATAATAGACTTTGAAAATCTATTTCTAAAAGGAGACTAATATAAAATTGTTCTTTTTTTAATATTGTGACTCTAAGTAGTAAAAAATAAGTATGACAAGAAAAATACATCACCTTACGTCTCTTTTGTAAAGGAATATCAATTCATTGATTTTTAGGAAAAAAAACTAGTTGTAACACTTAAAAAAAAAAAAAAACATAATATACATTACAACCTTAAAAACAATATACCAATCAACTTGACTACTTTCCCTCTTAATTTTTAAACAATATATTTGTACTTGTTAAATTAATTAATTTTAATTTCATAATAATTGTTTTAAATTTTTTTAATATTTTTTTGATAAACATAGAATATATGATTACAAATACCAGTATCATGCCATGATTCTACATGATTATTTTTTTCCATATTTAGCTTGGCATGACAATGATGCACAGTGATGCACATTAATGTCATATCTCGTTAATAGACAAATTTAGGATACCGACTATAATGGTTAGCGTAATTATAGCCTAGAATGTTTCGTATTTCATGTATATATTGTGCTATCATATTCAATACAAGATAAGGGTTTTTGGAAATATTTTTATCATGGTATCGAGCAAACCAAACTCCGATATCCAACGACCGAGAACACGATCGTACTTCTAAAATGGCAGAGAGAGGAGAGGCGGTGAAGAAAACACCATCGCCATACGATCCGAGTGCCGGTGATAATCCTGGAAATGTGATTGCACGAGTACAATTACGATGAGAGAATTACGAGGAATGGGCAAGGGCCGTGAAGATATCTTTGCGGGCTCGAAGGAAATGGGGTTTCATAGATGGAACTCATAAGGAACCTGAAGAAGACACATCTGAGATAGAAGATTGGTGGACAATTCAATCGATGCTTGTATCTTGGATACTAAACACTATAGAACCTAGTTTGCGTTCCACTGTTGCATACATGGAAAACGCAAAGGACCTATGGGATGACATCAAGGAACGATTCTCAATCGTGAACGGACCAAGAATCCAAGCAACTAAAGTCGAGTTGGCAGAATGCAAACAACAAGGAATGACTATGGTTTCCTATTATGGGAAGTTGAAAACGTTGTGGGATGAACTGGCAAATTACGAGCAAATCCCACAAGTGTAGATGTGGGGGATGCAAGTGTAATATTATGACGCAACTTGAGAAACGAAGAGAAGAAGAAAAAATTCATCAGTTCTTGATGGGGCTAGATGATGAGGGCTATGGAACTGCACGGTCAAATGTTTTGGCAACAGATCCATTACCCTCGTTGAATCGGGTGTATGGCACCATGGTGCAAGAAGAAAGGGTGAGAACAATCACCAGGTCTAAAGAAGAGCGAGGAATGATCGTGGGAATGGCTATGCGAGCGGAAACCGGGAACAAGTTGCGCAATGAAGCGAAAGAAAAATCGAGTTGTTTGCATGCGGTGTGGAAGGAAGGGACATGACAAAGGCAATTGCTTCAAGATCATTGGTTACCCGGAATGGTGGGAGAGAGACCACGAACCGATAGAAACGATGAAAAAAATCAACAAAGAACAGGAACCTTCCGAGGAAAAGGAGGAACGGCTCGCGTCAATATGGCGCACATCGGTGCGGATAACGTTGGTTCAACCGAAAAACCGGAAGTCGCAGGATCGAGTAATGAGCAATGGCGGATCTTGACAGCAATGTTGAATTCTCGCAAGGCAAATGAAACTGAAAAGATGACTGGTAAGAAAGCATGTGACTTGTGGATTATTGATAGTGGCGCCTCTAATCATATGACAGGAACACTAGAAAACTTGAGGGAGAGTCGAGCCTTGGAAGGGTGCCCAATGGGACTACCAAATGGTGAATTGGTGCTGGCAAACAAAGAAGGATCGGTTTTCCTTGATGGAGGACTGAAACTTAAACATGTTCTATATGTTCGAAATTGAATTGCAATTTGATTTCAGTATCACAATTGACGAATGAAGTAAAATGTACAGGTACATTTTACTCGATAGATTTTGTGCAATGCAGGACCACACTTCGAGGATGCCTGATTGGAGCGGGTGAACGAAAAGAGGGACTCTATTGGTATCGTGGTGTGAGTGGCATAAAGGCGTATCGGACCAATGCGGAAAATCAACCGGAGATTTGGCACAAGCGAATGGGACATCCCGCCTACCGATTGTTAGAAAAATTCCGCATCCGAACAGGCGTGAATAGAAATACGGATACAACTCGTGTGTGTGAAGTGTGTGAGAGATCAAAGCAATGCAGAAACACATTTCCTTTAAGTGATTTTCAAGCATCCAATATATTTGATTTAATACATTGTGATTTATGGGGTCCATATAGAACTCCCTCGTCTTGTGGTGCATCTTACTTTCTCACTTTGGTTGATGACTGTTCTCGAGCCGTGTGGATATATCTCTTGAATAATAAGAAAGATGTGTCACAAACCTTAATGCATTTCATCGCCTTGATAGAACAACAATACGAGAAACAAGTCAAAATATTACGAAGTGACAATGGAACCGAGTTTATGTGTCTTCAACGATATTTTCAAGCAACATGGGATACTCCATCAAACCTCATGCACTTGGAACACCTCAAGCAAAATGGGAGAGCCGAACGAAAACATCGACACATCCTAAATGTAGCACGTGCTCTACGATTTCAGGGAG